AAGTTTGTAAAAAATTTTGAGATTCGTCGGGTCTCCTTTTCTATCCGTGTAATTCCATGAAAGATCAGTAGGATCGTTTTCTAAAGTATCGATTTGGAAAGTAGAGATTTCAAGCTGTAAAATGCTTTTTTGAACATCTCGATACGATCATTTTTGACGAAGTTGCTCTATCTTGAAGTTTGCCTATTTTTAGAGAATAGAACAGGTGATCCTTTAATTTTTTGAACCAGTATAATATTTAAAATACTAGTAACATCAAACATTTTGTGCATATTTATACGCAAATAGTCTATATATAATGTATGAATAATTTGAAATATTTTTGTTAAAAAACTTTAAAAATTATATTAGATATCATCAATATTATTTTGATTTTTATATTCTCTAAATATGTTTTTTTCTTTTGTTAATATTGTGATTGATTATTAAGTAATTAATATTTGTAGAAAACCATACTTCAAGCTATACACTACAAAATCAAGTGTGTAATAAATGTATATTTTTTATATATGTGTATAATTTATTTTTTATACGAAAAACTAAATCATACACATATATGAAGAATATACTTATTACACACTTGAATTTCTTGTGTATAGCTTGAAGTATAGTTTTCCACGAATATTCATCACTTAATAACCAATAAATTATCAACAAAAGGAGAAAAACATATTTAAAGAATATAAAAGCTAAAATAATATTGATACTTAACACAATTTTTCAAGTTATTTAGCAGAAACATTTCAAATTACACACATGCACACATTATATAAATTATTTGCGTATAATGGTATGAACAAAATGTTTGATTAGTTACTGGTATTTTAAATATTATTTTTATTTTTACTTTTAATTTGTTGCTATATCAATATTATCCCTGTAAGTTTAATCATTGATTGGAGCGATAAAATCGTTATTTTATTTAAAATAATTCCTATTATTTAAATTCTTTTTATTTATTTCTCTTATTATTACGGTACTCATTTATACATGTTTTATAATATGCAAATAATAAAAGAATTGATGCTTATGTGTAATCTTAATTTACTGGATACTAATGATACAAAAAATTCAAATTTAAACATTATTAACATAACTGTTGATAAAGACACAATTATTACTGAAGATCAGAATATTTCTTTTTTTGATGATAAAATTTTCATCATCCCATCTTCGCGCGGAAGAGACTCAAATTTTAACCATCTTATCTTTGGAAAAGATATTAGATATTGATAATCCAGTACCATCAACTTCTTTTGAAACTTGTGAAACTGAAACCATTGCTAATACAGTATCAACTTCTTTTAAAACTGAAACCATTGCTGCATCAACATCAGAATCAGAAGCTGATAAGAATATTTCCAATATTGCTGGTGTCTCTTTAATTAAAATAGAAACGTCTAAAGAGAAAGACATACCAATGTATGTTTTCGTTATTTAACATTCTGTATTGTTTTAGTTAATGTTAAAGTATACCAAATTTCTTTTTTATAATTTGTTTTTTATTTCTTCAGTTTGTCATAAAAGTTTTAAATGGAATTACAGACGGCAAAGATCTATATAAAAGATATTACGGATCCAATGGTTTTAATACTTCTGAACGAGCAAAACTATCAGAAATTCTTATAAAAGCAGAATTGGATGGAGATACTGAAACAAAGTAGTTATTATAACAATACTCCCATCTTAAAATATGTACATTTATTATGACGTTTATTATCATTACATTGCATTGTTATAGGATTTCAAAACATTTTAATGAAATTGTGAAAGATATTTTGGAAATTTTTCCATCTGAAATAGCAGTAAGTGTACCATTTCATTATTCGTTGTGGTTGAAATGTTCATATTGATTTGAAAACTAAAATGTTGATGCAAAAACAGTTTAAATCTTACAATTAGAATAAAAACAATTTTTATTTTAAAGCATTTTAATAAATATTAAATATTGCATTTAATTCTATATCCTCTAGTTTCTATTTTACTTCCAATATATAATTTTGCTTAAAATCTTATAATTTCCTTATAATAAATCTTTTCTTTATTTTGATCGAGATTTTAATATCTTATATAAAATTTTTCTTAATATTTTTAGTCAACTTGGTTCTTCCCGGCAGTGAAAGTAAATGGGAAACAGATCTATCCTAAAGGTGTTTTATATAATAAATACGTCAGTATTGGAAAGAAATATCGAGCTAGTGGCTCGCGTAGTGGTACTCACTTGGGAAGTATAACCACTGTTCCTATACAAAGTAAGATATGATTTTATAATAATTCATAAATATATACTTTATAATCAACGAACGAGATAGGTACTACGAGAAAACTTGAAATTCTCAGGAAATTCAAGTACTCACCCTATATAAAATATACTTAAATGTTAAAAGTAAAATAAAAAATGCGATTAAAATTTATAATAGTAGAAATATTTATTTTCAGCGGAAGATGTTGCTTTATGTTTGAGTTGGCTAAAGACTAGCGATGAGCCTTGGAGTCAAGTTGAAAAGCACTGAAAAATCACTGCAAATTATCGGCTTGAAGTCTTAAGAAGCGAAACTGTAATAGTGGGGAGAAAACACAAAAACTAAGCAAGGAGAAATATTTTTGTCATAAAGTTTTTCAATATATCTCTTTACATCCAGTTCTTCTACAAAACGACGGATATAAATTGGTTTGTATAGTAATATGTATAATAATGTTTTACTTTTTACAGTTATATAATAAATTATGTATATTCTGGTGATTAATCATTTTTTAATTTTTTTGCAGTTTGAAGATTTTAAAATTTTATATTTAGAAAAAGAAAACAAATTTTTTGAGGAAAAAGACAAATTTGTTTTAAATATTAAAGAACTGATCCGTAGAAAAAAGAGTCTAACAATTGATTCAGAGCTTGAGACGGATGATACTTCTATTTTAGGTTGTATGTATATTAACAAATATTTAATAAATAAAAGAAAAATGTTTTGAATCTTAATCTTTCTACTGATATATTTCATTTATATTTTATTTATATTGTATACAATATTATTTCAACATTTATTTTAATTAGAAGAGATATTAAAAGAGATTTATTTTAGATGATTTTATTGAAGTTGCATGGGATCTTACAAAATTAATTCAGCCAGTTTCAATTGGCAGTTTGCACAAAAATAAGAACAATAAAAAACCATGGAGGCCTAGTATGCTTCAAATGAAAAACGGCTTTATTTTACATGTTTTGGCAAGGAAAAAGATGAATTTTTTCTAGTAAGAAAATAAAAAAAAAATAAAATAATTTTTTAGTAATAAAATACAAAAATACATCTATATTTATTTCTTTTAATTTTAGAATATTCGTGAACTGGAAGCTGAAATAAATAGAGTAAAGAAAAGATTGGACTTAACTGGCAGAACATTGCAGCCTTTCTCGGCAGCCTTAATCGGACCCTCTGTGAAAGAAATAATTGATTCTTATGTCATTATAGACAATGTGAGGTACCGAGTTCCTTCACTTTTGAGAGCAATAGACATTTGTTTTAAGTCTTATCAAGTTCTTCATGCTAATTATCCATTTCAAAGTGATAGTCTGTGGCTTTTTATACAAAAAGCTGTGTATGATATTCACACCGAATGGGATAATCGACTTGCGGTTGACACTTTAGTGCAACAATATAAACTCTTGCGATTAACTTAAAAATTTTACAATGCGTTTTCTGTATGAAAGATCTGTCGACTGTTCATAGTTTGGAGTTGTATGTATACATCTCATCTTATTTCTTTATTGATAAAAAGGCCCCAATTCAGTATAAAGTACTAAATTGCTATAGAGACCTGAATGGCTGAGTAGGATATCGCAGGCATCTGCTTAAGCATCATAAATTTTGATTATTTGATGATTTTGAAGATAATGCAGAAGTTATTGATAGATCAAACAATGAGAATAAAAATAAAAATCAATTTCAAACGAGTGACAGTACCGATGAGTTTCAAACATCTGATGTTTGCGAGGTCCAAAAACGATGATAATTATAATAATTCTGTAATATATAAAGAACGGATGCACAAAGGATTTATGTCATTTGAAAAATTATATGCCGCATCTAACTTGCCAAAAAGTCATGTTCAAGAAATAATTGATGATGTTACTGAATTGTTTGGAGATTTTACATCTTATATAAGATTCGTTATGAAAGATATTTTAAAAACAACGGAAACTTACGAAATAGAAAATTTGCTTTATGTCCTTTGTCGCGAGGCCGATGCCCCGCAACAACAATAAGCATTGT